TGTGTGTGTGTGTGTGTGTGTGTGTGTGTTTGTGTTTGCTGTGTGCTGCTGTGTTTTGGACAAAAAGGCATCCGGAAGTAATTGCATTTTATTTATTTATTTTGTCCACATCCACATGATGGAATGTATTATGAGCCTGCTGTTATTTTAGTTTCATTGTTAATTTAAGAACGAATTCCATTCTTCACTGGGCGTCTATATTAGCACCATGTTAGCACTGAATATTGCCCTTCAGTCTGCTCTGCGTGCCAACAACAAGGACAAACACTGCTGCGTTTTGTCAGGACACTAAAGCGTGTCTGTCACCGCTGCAGGCCCAGTTCGGCCCTTCCGGTCCTGTCCGGCTGCTGGACGCGGGAGGAGGGCAATTCAACCCCGGTGGAGCAATAAATTCAATTCAGGGAGGGAAGGGACTCGCTTTGTCTTTAAGAGCCCACCATAAAACGAAATAAAGAGAAGCCAGAAGGACGGTGTGAGGCAGACAGGAAAGAGAGACAGACAGAGGAGTCACCTTCTTGTCTCGCCTCCAGACCAAACAGCCTCCCCCCTCCGGCTGCTGAAGCCATGGCCGAGCTCTCTGACTTTACTGCCTCCTCTTCTTCTTTCCTGTTTCTGCTTGGCTACACCGAGTCCACCTCCATCTGTTGTTTTTGAGTCTCCTCCCCTTTTGTTTTCTTCGGTCCTTTCTTTTTCTATCCCTGCTCTCTCTTTTAACACTCATCCCCCGCTTCTTTCCTGCTTTATATCCTTCATCCTTTCCTCACTCCCTTTATTGCCTTCCCTCAACATCCTTCATTCCCTCCCTCGTTCTTCTTTTAATCTTTCCTGCCTTTCATTTTTTCCTTCTCTGCACATCCTGTCATCCTCCCTCCTTCTCCTCCTTCTCATTCTCTCTTTCCTACCTTGTCCCGGTTGTGTCCACTGTCCCCCGATCAGGCCGTCCTCCTCCGCTGCGGCTGTCCCTGCGACTGTTTTGGACCGGACCCGAATGACATCCCTCCTTACTCGGAGGATCAGCCGCACTCCTCCTCCTCCTGCCTTCTCTTCGGTAATAAATCCGCTGCCATCGGGTCGCTCTCACCCACGAGGGTGAAGCTCCAGGTGTTATGAGGTCTTGTGGAGGCGCGAGGAGAAGGTGTGCGCGCTCTGCGGTGGTTGTCGATGTTGGCGATCATCTCCGCCAACATCAGATCCGGTTGCGGTGGAGTGCAAAGCCGCCCCCCGTGGACGGAGGAGGGTCGTCGCAGCTGTGACGGTGAGCGGACTCCAGTCCTCAAACCGAGCCACCCCGGGAGAAGCATCCGAGGTCATAATGACGCGGTGGCTCGACGGTGAAACCGGGCACGTCAGGCGGCAGCCTAGACCTGAGCTGCAGGTTCGGTTCCTGAGTGACGTGGGGAAGAGGAGGAGGAGGAGGAGGATGTTTCAGAAGAGGAAAGGGGGGTGACGGGGGGGGGCATTACGTTCATCCAGAGCAGTGTTTTCGGTACCGATAGTGGAGGCTTTGAGGGAACGGGCGCATCTCGTGTCAACTGAGGCTCCTGGTGCGTCATCCCCATGCGCTCAGATACTCTGAGATGATGTTAGCTCCGTTATTTTGAAGCGCCAGTGAGGGCTTGGAGTCTTTGGGTTGCTTGTTAATGGAGATTCACCTTCACTGTGTGTGTGCTCAGACATTGCTGTGGAAACATTTGCAAGGAGGCGGGGGCCATGTTTTGGGTTGATAGAGACAGACTTTGGCTAAAAACGCTTCCTGTTAGGCGGCCAATGTCTGAGGTTCACGGGCAGACCACGCCCCCCATCTCGTCTGCTTTCTTTCTTTCTTTCTTTCTTTCTTTCTTAATGGGAATGGGACTACAGGCTCCATTAAAATGCTCTCTTCATATTTCACCGCTGCTTCAAATGAGAACCACGCGTGTTTCAGAGACTGGAAGCGGGCAGGAGGCCGATGTGAAGTACAGAGGCGGCCTGACTCACAAGCTGCATCCAATTACAGTCCAGTTGAACGCAGCAGCCCGCTGTGGAATTTCCCCTCCGATTAGGCCCGTACATCGCTCTGAAATAGCGGATTCTCTATGAAGTATTCTTATGTTTCTGAGGAATGCATAGAGGGAAAACTGGGGATTCACAGGAGTGATGTCTTGCTTATATACCACAAACAGGGTTGGTGCAGCAGTTGGAGGAAACAGTTGAAGCTAGCAGAGCTGCTAAAATAAAATTTGGCATAAAGTAAATTTCTTTCCCATGATTCTGAAACCCAGAGCACACGAGGCACCTACAATTTACCCCCGTGTGTGAAGTTACAGTGAACTCCACAGATCCGTATCCTCCATATTGTGCGCACATTTCAAAGGCTGCGTGCATCCTATTTTTCCTTTTACAGATTTCCATGTATTAAACTCAAAGCAAACTGCTTGCATTGCTTCATATTGATTTCAATAAATTTAATTAAAATATTCATGCATACAGTCAGTCACAAACTATTTAAGTCGCCCAGTTTATAGAATTGCCTAATGATAAAAGAGCTGTTTGGTGTTATAAATAGACATTATATAATAAAAGCACTATCCTAATAGCTTTATACACGCTTACATTAAAGTTCATACAACATTCATATTACTGAAGCTGAATATCACTGATAAGTTTGCGTTCAAAATCGGAAAATGTCTATAAAGACATTGTTTCAGGCTAACAGCTTTCATCTTTGTTAGAATAAATCCTAATTAGTAAACATGATTACACATACAGAATGAGATTTTCTCATCTCACCATATTTATCTCTGCATTTAATGAATGAATTGTAACTTTTTAAATCGTTTTAATCTAATTTCTTAATGCTTTGGCAATATTTACACACATTAAACCATACTGAATTGAATTTAAGCAGTTCCACTTAAATTCGGTGTAAATAAGTTTAAATAAATGCATGTGGATGCTGATGTTGTTTATGTGTTTAAAGCAGGATTTGACAGCAGACTCTAGAAGAAGGACAGAAGACGACGCATGAGGATACTGATGGCCTCTCAAACACAGCGATGTGCTCTTGTGTTGCTCACTGAACTGCACTGACTGAGATGGATGCAGTACATCTTCTCTGCCTCCGACTGTCGCTGTTTTCCTCTCACAAACCTCCCCATTCAGCTCTATGACCGGTTTGTAAACACAGCAGCATCACTTGCACACATGGAAAGATGTGATGAACCATAGGTCGACCAAGTGTTTTGTTCTCACTGGAAAACCATGGAGCTGCACAGTAGTAGTACTTTGGTTGACCTTTTTATTTATCTATATATATTTGAAAGTCATATATGGTCTCTATTTTAAATAAAATTGCACTTAATTCTATCACTTCTGTAACTGCTATAAATCTACTAAATGTTCACAGTGAGGCCTGCAATGTAGAAGGTGGTCATTTCTCTTATATATGTTTACATGGACTGAGTTAATTCCAAATTCAAGTTTCAACTCAACCCCTGTGTTTTGATGACACGGCCTTCAGTCTTCACACAGACTGGATTTAAAAATGTCTATATATATTTTCTAACTTAAAGTATCCAATACATTTCTCTCCAATGCTTTTAGCCTCACCTTTAAGCCATATGATACATATATACATAGCCTATCGATCTAACTCCATGTTAACTCCTATAAACAAACTCCAATAACAGAAATCCATAAGGATTATAAAAGGGTTAATACTGTTTAAAAACTTCTGTCAACACCAATCACAGACGCAGAGCAAATGCAAACTCACTGTATTTAACCATGCATGTTTTACAGCGCAATGCCTAATTTTCTGTAGCGCACTTCCGAAGTCTGTCATCAATCATGTTTATATGAAATTATAATTCATTTAGGAAAAGTCACATTAGGGATAAGTTCCAAATCCCTGAAGTTTCCTGCCTCCAAATCATTAACATTATTAAAACTGTAATCGTTGATCACATCAACCCCAGTCCCAGTTTCTTGGAAGACCAAGTTGCCAAAATATTGACGCAGAGCTAAATTAAGTTCTAGCTGCATATGAAGCCCAGATGGATGTCGGGTAAAAAATAAGCCTGCCATGAACAGATCTACGATCTGTGGATGGGCGCACATATGCTGTCCAGATAGGCCTTTAATACTAATCTCGAGTCACTTCAGCCTAACGCTGTAACCTCACCATAATGAGTCAAATCTGTTTGTAAACGGCCACTTCCCACTGCAGATCACCAAATGTCCAATAAGATAGACTCACCGTGTTTGGGAGCTGCAGGCGGGATGACGCACGACGCACTGCGATGATCAAACTCCGGGACGGACGGAGATTTGCGCTGTTTCCCCGATTCTGTCCGCCGGTCTCTGGGCAGTTTTGACGTTGAAGTTTCCCGGAGTGAGGGGCCTGGTTTACTGGCCCTTGCTGTAAAACCCTGGTTGTGTGTGTGTGTGTGTACATGGCAGATCATTTTGTTAATTTTTCCCTGTGGTTTGGCCATGTGATAAGCTCCTAAACTGTCTTCATACTTGAAAGAGAGGGAGAAAAAACATTGGTTGTGACAACCAGAAAGCCATACGTGATTTCCCACGGCATGCTGGCCAATTCATTTTTCTTCCCTGGCAACTACTGAGACACACACCTAGACATATGCACACGAGTATAAGGGGAAAAAATGACTAAGAAAGAATCCCTTTTTATTTTATTCATTTATTTAAAAGACGCAGAATGAAGGGAGCGAAGGTCGCTGTGCAGACGGTGGTTGCTGCAGATTCTAATCCAAAGCCTCCGGCGATCTCTGCATGAACTCCATTTCTGGTCTGCAAACAAATTAGGTTTTTTTTTCTCTCTCTTCTATCTCACTCTCCCTCCAGTGAAAATAAGGGGAAATTCAGGTGAATAAAATCTATTTGTTCATTTAACTTTTTTTTTTTTTTCTTTCCCGTCAGCTTCTTTTCTCTCTCCCAAACTCAATTTTCCCTCGGTGCACGCTTGCTGGAGTGTTTCTTTTCTTTGCAACGGTCTCGCCATCAATTCATTAGGCAACTGTCGTTTAATTTGTATCATTAGAAAAGGCGTGTTTCCCAAGGAGTATGGCACTCCACTAAATCTGATCCAGACAAAAGTACTTATTTTCTTTTTTTTTTTTCGACCACACGCAAGCTGTGGGACTTGTAAACACACACCTCACACCAAACAAGTCTTTTAGAGAAATAGAATTTAAACAAACAAACAAAACATGATAAAAAAAAACATGGTTTAATATCTTAACATCTTTTCAAGTGTTATTACACTTATAGAGAGCAGTTCTCCTTCTGGGCCCCGATTTTAATTATGCAACAAATGTTTGACTATCCAAGTGAAATTTGCATGAATATTTATACCAATTCATTTGTTGAGTGTTGATTGTAATTACATGGAAACATGATTTATTGCCAAGATTGCTGTGTTAGCCAGCCAGCCAGAGAAAGAGAACCGGGCAGAAATATATAAATAAATGCAAATTTTTTTTTGCCACACAGACACACACACCCCAGCGAAAGGAAGCGCCATTTTCTTTCCCAGTGGGCTTGTGGGACATTTTTTTATCCAAAAAGAAAAACAGCTCGCTCGGTATGTGCAGAGATTGTCGGAGGTGGCTTACTGCTGTCTCAGCATGACAAAATAACAAAGAGGTTGACCTGTCAGGAATTTCCTCTTTATCTGTGTATATGTGTGTTTACGCGTCATTTGTCACTACTCTTCTAAAGATGTAGACATTCTTTCACGCATACCAAATATCTGCCAACGCGATACGAGCTTGACGTTTTGGCCATCTGGCCTCTCACCATCGAATTGAACAGTGTTAGATTGGCATTTTATGGATACGATGCACAACTTGAGATCACACTTATCGATGCACAGAGGCTGATCCAGGTGAAACAACATTTGGGGAAGCAAAGGGAAGGGAAT